TCGGTCGATGGATCTATAATTTCCTCACTAACAGAACACAGAGAGTAGTCGTCAACAGAGTAAAGTCCGAGGCAGCTACGGTGAAAAGCTCTGTTCCACAAGGCACAGTACTCGCTCCCATCTTGTTCCTCATCCTCATATCCGACATATCAAGGATGTCAGCCACAGCACCGTGTCTTCCTTTGCAGATGACACCCGAATCTGCATGACAGTGTCTTCCATTGCAGACACTGCAAGGCTCCAGGCGGACATCAACCAAATCTTTCAGTGGGCTGCAGAAAACAATATGAAGTTCAACGATGATAAATTTCAATTACTCAGATATGGTAAACACGAGGAAATTAAATCTTCATCAGAGTACAAAACAAATTCTGGCCACAAAATAGAGCGAAACACCAACGTCAAAGACCTGGGAGTGATCATGTCGGAGGAGCTCACCTTCAAGGACCATAACATTGTATCAATCGCATCTGCTAGAAAAATGACAGGATGGATAATGAGAACCTTCAAAACTAGGGAGGCCAAGCCCATGATGACACTCTTCAGGTCACTTGTTCTATCTAGGCTGGAATATTGCTGCACACTAACAGCACCTTTCAAGGCAGGTGAAATTGCTGATCTAGAAAATGTACAGAGAACCTTCACGGCGCGCATAACGGAATAAAGCACCTCAATTACTGGGAGCGCTTGAGGTTCCTAAACCTGTATTCCCTGGAACGCAGGCGGGAGAGATACATGATTATATACACCTGGAAAATCCTAGAGGGACTAGTACCGAACTTGCACACGAAAATCACTCACTACGAAAGCAAAAGACTTGGCAGACGATGCAACATCCCCCCAATGAAAAGCAGGGGTGTCACTAGCACGTTAAGAGACCATACAATAAGTGTCAGGGGCCCGAGACTGCTCAACTGCCTCCCAGCATACATAAGGGGGATTACCAACAGACCCCTGGCAGTCTTCAAGCTGGCACTGGACAAGCACCTAAAGTCGGTTCCTGACCAGCCGGGCTGTGGCTCGTACGTTGGTTTGCGTGCAGCCAGCAGCAACAGCCTGGTTGATCAGGCTCTGATCCACCAGGAGGCCTGGTCACAGACCGGGCCGCGGGGGCGTTGACCCCCGGAACTCTCTCCAGGTAAACAGGGAGCAAAGTCAGGATATTTCTCCAGAATGGTCTGTAATATACCACTGTGGATAAAATACTTTGCCATTTCTTGAACATTTCTGAGTGAGTTGTCTCTAAATTCATTAATCTGATCGCACTCCAGTACATAATGACGCAAGGTGTGACAATAGCCCATCTGGCAAAGTTTACATTTCGTTTGGTCTACATCTGGTGGTGGTGATTTAACCTGCCAAAGATACCTGTAACCCAGCCGGAGCCGGGAGGTAGTGACATCCAAGAGTCTGCTTATTTTGTTGGATGCATCATAGACATGTGGCTCCTCCTGCATGATAGAATGATGATAGATGGACTGACTTGTGTCAATCTCCCTGAGTCTTAAGTCAATAAAATTCAGTTGAAGTTCTTTTCGTATTATTGTTCTCAAACTGCTATGTGGCATCGGAGGGAGACCAGGAGTGGCTTAAGTTTTTCCAAACACTTCCGTTGGGTGCTAGCGACCACAAATCAATTACATTTAGAATTGAATGGAAGTATGATAGTAGGGATAACTCAGTAACAGTCCCAGATTTTCGCTTAGCAGATTACGATGGGCTTAGAGAACACTTATCATCTGTTGACTGGGGTAACGAAGAGAGCTATCAATTTGACAGTTTTCTGAACACAATACATGCTGCTCAAGGAACGTTTATCCCTTATAAGGAAATTAGATCAAATAGAAATGACCCAAAATGGATGAATAATAGGCTGAAATATCTACTAGTGCATAAGAAAGGAATTTATAGGCGTATCAAAAGAGGCGAGGGTCATCTTATGAATCAGTATATTGACATTAAGAGGGACATTAAAAAGGGGATAAGAAAAGCTAAAAGGGACTATGAAATTAAAGTTGCTAGGGATTCTAAAACTAATCCAAAAAGTTTTTTCCAGGTATATAGAACAAAAGTCAGAGATAAGATAGGTCCCCTTAAAAATAACAAAGAGAATGAAATGTGCTCGATTTTAAATAATTATTTTCTCTCGGTTTTTACACAGGAAGACACAAATAATATTCCGGTAATTAATTTTTATAGTGGATCAGAAGAAGATAAATTATGTAACATCACAGTCACTAGTGAAATGGTTGTGAAGCAGATAGACCGACTGAAGCAAAATAAGTCACCGGGTCCTGATGAGGTTTTTTCAAGGGTTCTTAAGGAATGCAAAATGGAAGTCTGTGAACCATTAACTAATATTTTTAATTTATCTCTTCAAACAGGTGTAGTGTCTGATATGTGGAGATGGCTAATGTAGTTCCTATTTTTAAAACAGGGGACAAGTCGTTACCGTCAAATTACCGCCCAATAAGCCTGACCTCAATTGTAGGCAAGTTGCTAGAGTCAATTATAGCTGAGATTATAAGAACCCATCTCGATAAGCATAGCTTGATTAATGATACTCAGCATGGATTCACAAGAGGCCGGTCTTGTCTAACTAATTTATTAACTTTCTTCAGTAAAGCTTTTGAGGCTGTTGACCCGAAAAGAATTTGATATGTTTTTTTGTTTTTTAGTAACATTTGAAGATTTTCCGCACCAAAGACATTGAAAGTAGCAGCTCATGGCTTTTGGGGGAAGGGGCCCGGGTCGAGTCAGGGCTCACAGACAGAAGCAAGAGTCCTAAATGGGGTTAAATCCAGTGGGATCGAACAAGGGGCGTTCCACGGATCATTTTGGGGCCCGTGTTGTTTAAATATATATAAATATTTGATGAAAAATTGCTAGTGAAAAGAGAAAATTTTCGCCGGACAACAAAAGGTAGAAAATTTGATTCAAACGTAGATGTTAGGAAACTTCAGAGTTTTTAAAAAACTTACCTTGGTCAGAAAAGTGGCAGATCCCGTTAAATGTAGATAAATAAAGGGTTCGGGGAAAGCTCGGGATGTCCAAACCCAGCACTTATAAGTTAAATAATGTAGAACAGCCATACAGATTGCGAAAAAGGATTTTGGGGGTTAGGTAACAAAACCCTTAAACCAAGACAGAAATGCCAAAGGGACAATAAGGCAAAAAATTTTGGGGTTTTTTAAATCAAGAAGTGAAAGCAACAGAAGTCCAAGGTCAACTGCACTTTAACACATTAGAAGGCCTCACCGTTTAGCAGCTCAATTCGGCTCCATATTACAAATGGACAAAAATTTCGTTAGAAAACATTCAGCAGGATATAAATTAATACATGAAATAAAATTTTCCTTATGGAAAAAAGATTGAAACTTTTTTAAGTTCATTCACTTGTTGACGAAGAATTAGGGGAGACCGATCAAAGTTAAAAGTGAAGATAGTATTAATAAAGGGGATATAACAAGGTTTTGGGGAAAATCTCCAAGAGGAACCCGCAGTAATGATTAAATTAGATAAGTTTAGATTTAGAAAGGACTAAAAGTATTGGTTTTGGAAATGGGGTAGTTGATGATGGAACATCTTCCATTTTGGGTTTTATTGGGGCTAATTTTGGGTATTTTCAAATTTGGGTTTGGATAAGTACTTAGGGGGAGGGTTGGATTTGAGTGGGGACTTGCACATCGGAGCTTTTTCTTGGGGGCATTAAAAATTTGGGTTTGGGGGCAAAGTTTTGTTAGGGGGATGAATTTTAAAGGGACCTGCCTAGTGGGGCCAACAGGCCTCTCAGTTTTTCCTCCTTCTTATTTCATGTACTGTAAACAAATATGTGGCCCCTTTTCCAAGTATTATTTGATAATGAAAAGACGAGGTTTCATAAGGTAACCTTAAAAAATTCCCACACAGTTATTCCCCCTGAAAATTTTCCTACACAACACAAAACATAAGACACAATCCGGGCTATAAGACGCATCACCACAATGAAGTCACGAGAAGGGGCGACTCAAAGTATTTTAACGGGAATAAAAAATTCAACCTATTTTAACACATAAAACGATACACATGCGCATGAAATAGTTCAAACCCCTTTTAACTGTTCACTAACGAAACTTTGGGGGCCCGTCCCTGGGCCCTTATTTACCTCGTAACCTTTGAACCGCCCACAGGATGGGGAAGGGATGCATAATAAACATATTAAAAAACATGCACCACAAACTGAATTTCCTATCCACCGTCCCCGAATTTAAAAAAACATTTTTGGGGTTTGAAGCCAGCCACAGAGTTTTGGAATTATATCAAGTCATTCCAGAATGCTGGGAATGGGCAACAACTTTTTGTCAGAGGGGAGTTGTTCAAAAATCTTATCTAGTTTCCGTACATAAGAGTTGAAAATTGAAGCCGTCGGGCATGATTTTCTGTTTACAGGAAACAAAACGAAAAAAATTGGGGGAAGTAAAAAAAATCTGGGAACCCCTTTAAAAGGGCCCCTTCGAAAAAATAATAATAATAAAAAATAATAATAAAAAAATAATTAAAATAAATTATTATTTTATTATTATTATTATTATTATTATTTTTATTATTATTATATATTATTACTCACATCATTATCTTAGGATGATTGCCTAACCTCTTGTAGACTCAAAGACGACAGATAACTTCCTATCCCCCCCCACCCGAGGGGGGTGTAGGGAAAATATTCCTCGATTGGGAGATTTCAGTAAGACAATGAGGATATCATCAGTTATTCCAGTAAGGGTTCATCAGCTAGGACAGCTTCAAAGGTTTCCTTCCAGCAGAGCTGAAGTTACAGTCACTCGGGAATTACCATCTCTCAGGACAACCTATCACATACACAGCAGAAATGTAACTTTTGTGAAGATACACATCCTTTCCCGTCACCTGCATGATGACAGCTCACCTGCATGATGACAGCTCACCTGCATGATGACAGCTCACCTGCATGATGACAGCTCACCTGCATGATGACAGCTCACCTGCATGATGGTGATGCCGGTGTTAGAAGAGGAGGACATTCTAGCCATCACCAAGCGAGGCTCCGTCTCTGGTGATCCTGGACACACGATGTTCACCTCCTCCTTGTGCACCACCCCGGCGTACACCTGTTGTGCACATGTGACCTCTCACTACTCAGTAATGTGACCTCTTACTACTCAATAATGTGACCTCTGAATACTTAGTAATGTGACCTCTTACTACTAAGTAATGTGACCTCTGAATACTTAGTAATGTGACCTCTTACTAAGTAATGTGACCTCTGAATACTCAGTAATGTGACCTCTGAATACTCAGTAATGTGACCTCCGAATACTCAGTAATGTGACCTCTGAATACTCAGTAAGTAATGTGACCAATTACTACTCAGTAATGTGACCTCTGAATATTAAGAAATGTGACCTCTTACGACTCAGTAATGTGACCAATTACTACTCAGTAATGTGACCTCTGAATACTCAGTAATGTGACCTCTGAATACTCAGTAATGTGACCAATTACTACTTAGTAATGAGACCTCTGAATGCTCAGTAATGTGACCTCTGAATACTCAGTAATGTGACCTCTGAATACTCAGTAATGTGACCTCTGAATACTCAGTAATGTGACGAATTACTATTCAGTAATGTGACCTCTGAATACTCAGTAATGTGACCAATTACTACTCAGTAATGTGACCTCTGAATATTCAGTAATGTGACCTCTGAATACTTAGTAATATGACCTCTAAATACTCAGTAATGTGACCTCTTACTACTCAGCAATGTGATCTCTCACTACTCAGTAATGTGACCTCATACTACTCCGTAATGTGACCTCTGAATACTCAGTAATGTGACCTCTCACTACTCGGTAATGTGACCTCCCACTACTCGGTATGTGACCTCTCACTACTCAGTAATGTGACCTCTCACTACTCGGTAATGTGACCTCTCACTACTCTGTAATATGACCTCTCACTACTCGGTAATGTGACCTCTCACTACTCGGTAATGTGACCTCTCACTACTCGGTAATATGACCTCTTACTACTCGGTAATGTGACCTCTTACTACTCAGTAATGTGATCTCTCACTACTAGGTAATGTGACCTCTAACTGCTCAGTAATGTGACCTTTCACTGGATAATGAGAACCTTCAAAACTAGGGAGGCCAAGCCCATGATGACACTCTTCAGGTCACTTGTTCTATCTAGGCTGGAATATTGCTGCACACTAACAGCACCTTTCAAGGCAGGTGAAATTGCTGACCTAGAAAATGTACAGAGAACCTTCACGGCGCGCATAACGGAGATAAAACACCTCAATTACTGGGAGCGCTTGAGGTTCCTAAACCTGTATTCCCTGGAACGCAGGCGGGAGAGATACATGATTATATACATAAGAACATAAGAACATAAGAATGTAGGAACACTGCAGAAGGCCTACTGGCCCATACGAGGCAGGTCCTTATCAAAACGACATCTACCTAAAGCTGAACATCAAATCTACTGTTCCTGCCTACTTTCTGTATTCGACTGAAGAAGCCTACTGTGTAGGCGAAACGTTTCGGAATAAAGTTGTCTAACTGTTGCATATGTGTCTTACCTAACAACCTGTCGGTATTGTATACCATTTTGATGTTCATCTTGTCAGACACTGCAACACGTGGCATCTTGATACAGAAAACACCTTGGACAAGCTTTTCAAGTGAGAAGTGTTGGATCTGAGAGGGTCATGACCTCTCAGTGGCCTCTCACTACTACTACTACTACTACTACTACTACTACTACTACTACTACTACTACTACTACCCTGCACCTCTCCTTCCGACAGTATTTAAGTCTCCGCACTGTCGCTTGTTCTTCAGATAGTTCCTGACTATGGAACTGAACTTCTCCAGGCCGAGGGACTGACAACCTCAAATTCTACGACTTTAAGGGTGATGGACTGATTACATCGTCTTCACATCTCTACTGTTCCTGCCTACTTTCTGTATTCGACTGAAGAAGCCTACTGTGTAGGCGAAACGTTTCGGAATAAAGTTGTCTAACTGTTGCATATGTGTCTTACCTAACAACCTGTCGGTATTGTACACCATTTTGATGTTCATCTTGTCAGACACTGCAACACGTGGCATCTTGATACAGAAAACACCTTGGACAAGCTTTTCAAGTGAGAAGTGTTGGATCTGAGAGGGTCATGACCTCTCAGTGGCCTCTCACTACTACTACTACTACTACTACTACTACTACTACTACTACCCTGCACCTCTCCTTCCGACAGTATTTAAGTCTCCGCACTGTCGCTTGTTCTTCAGATAGTTCCTGACTATGGAACTGAACTTCTCCAGGCCGAGGGACTGACAACCTCAAATTCTACGACTTTAAGGGTGATGGACTGATTACATCGTCTTCACATCTCTACTGTTCCTGCCTACTTTCTGTATTCGACTGAAGAAGCCTACTGTGTAGGCGAAACGTTTCGGAATAAAGTTGTCTAACTGTTGCATATGTGTCTTACCTAACAACACATCTACCTAAAGCTACTCAAGAAACAACTCCCGCACCCCCCAACACCAGTCAAACCCAGCCCCTCCCGCTCATATATTTGTCCAGTCTCTTCTTAAAGCTACCCAAGGTCCTAGCCTCTATCACTCCACTGGGAAGACTGTTCCACGCATCTACAACTCTGTTAGAAAACCAGTACTTACCTATGTCCTTTCTAAATCTAAATTTATCCAACTTAAATCCATTATTCCTGGTTCTTACCTGGTTCGACACCCTCAGTACTTTATTAATGTCTCCCTTGTTTTTTGCCCGTCATCCACTTATACACTTCAATGATATCTCCCCTCATTCTACGCCTCTCCAGAGAGTGGAGATTTAAGGCTTTAAGTCCCATCTTCATACGGAGGTTCCTTACACAGTAAATCATTTTAGTCATTCTTCTCTGTATGTTCTCTATGAGTCCTATGTCCATCCTGTATAAGGGGACCAAAACTGAGGGACATAATCTAAATGAGGCCCTCACTAGTGATGTATAGAGCTGTAAAATAACTTTTGGACTTCTGTTACTTATACTTCTTGAGATAAATCCAAGAAAATCTGTTGGCCTTGTTGCGCACACTGAGGAAACTGCTGTCTTGGCTTTAGATTTCTGCTTACCATGACCCCCAAAGTCTTTTTCACATTCTGTATGACCAAGCCTACTTCACCTAGATTATAGCTTCGGGGGTTATTTTCATTACCAAGGGCAAGTACCTTACACTTATCCAAAATTAAACTTCATCTGCCATTTCTCAGACCAAGACATTAATTTGTTAAAAATCGTCCTGGAGTTCATTGATATCCTCCTCAGAGTGAATTATACGGCCTATCTGTATAAATCAGCAAACTTACCATGTCACTATAATCCCTTCATCAAGGTCATTAATGTAAATTATAACAAGAGAGGGCCTAAAACGATCCTTGTGGAACGCCACTATTGACTAATCCCCATTCAGATTTCACTCCATTAATGGTAACTCTCTGCTTTCTATTGGTAAGCCATGCCTCAACCCATGCTAGAACTTTACCTCCTATACCATGAGCTGCCATTTTTTCTTAAGAGTCTCTTGTGAGGTACTCTGTCGAAGGTTTTAAACAAAAATCCAAATAAACAATATCATATTCCTTATCACTGTCAACTGCCTCAAATGTTCTATTGAAGAACGTCAGTAAGTTTTGTCAGGCAGGAACGACCTCTCGTGAATCCATGCTGAGATTCTTTTTATCAAGTTATGCTCTTCAAGGTGACTTCTGATAATGTCAGCTATAATTGATTCTAAAAAACTTGCCTACTATAGATGTCAGGCTTATTGGACGGTAATTTGAAGGAGTGGACTTATCCCCTGATTTGAATATAGGAACCACTTAGCCATCTTCCACATCTCTGGCCAAACACTGTAAGGATGGACCATGAATACACCGTTAATGCTGACAAAGCTCCATCTTGCATTCCTTAAGTACCCTTGAAAACAACTCATTCGGGTCCCGGGGACTTATTTGTTTCAGTTGTCTATCTGTTTAATAACCATGTCCCTCGTGACAGTAATATTAGTTAACTTAAATTCATCAGGAACTAAATAATTGTTATTACTGGAATCTCATTTACATCTTCCTGTTTTAAAAACTGACAAAAAATAGTCATTAATAAGGAACACATTTCCAGTTCATTATCCGTCAGCTGTCCATTCCCATTTTTCAGAGGTCCTACTTTTTTCCTTCACCTTCGTCCTATACACTTGAAAGAACCCCTTTGGATTAGTCTTTGATTCATTAGCAACTCTAATTTCATAGTCACGTTTAGCCTTTCTAATCGCCTTTTTTACTTCTCTTTTAAGCTGAACATATTGGTCAGAAAGGGTTTTAACCTCTCCTCTTCTGATGCGCCTATAAATTCCCCTTTTCTCCCCTAATAATGCTTTAGCCTCCGGGTTAACCCATTTGGGATCGTTATTATTAGACCAAATTTCTCTCTGGGAAGTATATACTCTGGCACTGTGTACATTATTAAGAAACAATCATAAAAGCAGATCCTTCATATTCATAAGTATGATTATCGTCAATAAAATCTTTAGCTAGATAACCCCAATCAAGATTAGACAGATGTTCCCTAAGTCCATTATAATCGGCAAACGAAAATCGGGGATTTTTACTGTATTATCATTATTCTTGCATTCCCAATTAATGCTAAAGGTGATGATTTGTGATCACTTGCGCCAAGCTCTTCAGTGATCTCCAGATTATTCACGAGTGTTTCCTTATTTGACAAGACTGGTCTAGCAAATTATTACCCCTGGTAGGTTCAGTTACACTCTGTTTCAGAAAACAGTCCTGAACTGTTTCCATGAGTCACTGGACTCTAGATTACCTGTCAAAGAATCCAGTCAATTTGGCTAAAGTTAAAGTCCCCTACTAGACTACGTTACTGTGTCCAGAAGCCCTAACAATTTCGTCCCAAAGAAGTCTCCCTCTATCGTGATCCAAGCCTGGAGGTCGGTATATTACACCTAGAATTAGTTTTTTTTTGACCCTCCACGAACTCTACCCAAACAGACTCTGTTACTTGCTCCATCTATTTTTATA